TCTGCATAGACCACGCCCCCAACCGGCACCCAAGGGTGACATCACACCCCTCACCCTCGACCCGTTGGCTTAGTAAACTTTCTTGCTAGCGGAGGAGAGCTGGATGGAGTGTTGCAGGACCAGAAACAAATCATCTTGAATTTTCTCCAATCCCCAAATAGCCGATGGTTGCTTACAGCCGTGGACTAACAGCCTTGTCGCTGGTTTCGGTGTGTACCGGCAGACCCCTATCTTCTGCCAATACGATGTTAGAGAAGCCAGGCAGCAAGAGAGCCAGCCCTACAGCAGAGGTCTCCAGCTTCGCTGGCACCTGCCTACAGCATGTCTCCACCACTGCATTTTACAAGGCTCTTGATGTATGGATTTCTCTGTTCCTTCTACAGAAACACCATGAGACTGACACTACGTCGGGACTTGGGGTGACCCCAGTCTGTGTTCCTGGTCCCCCTCAGGCTCCTGCATGTGTGTTGTGTACACACATATACCCAGGCACAAACACATATACACAAAATAAATAAGTACTCTTTTCTGTGTTGTGTTTGTGTGGGAGGGGCAGGTGTGTGTGTGCCATGACTCGTGTGTGGAGGCCAGCGGACAGTTTGCAGCAGTCGGATCTCTTTCTGCTGTGTCTGCTCCGTGGATCAAGCTCTAGGATGGTCAGGCCTAATGGCGAGTGCCCTTGCCTTTCTGCCATCTTCAGACACCTTAAAATCGCTGTTTCTCTGTCTCTCTCTGAAGCATATCCCTCAACATAGCCCTGGCTTTGCTGGAGCTCCACATGTTGATCAGGATAGCCTCGAACTCACAGAGAAGCCCTGTCTTGAAAAACCAAGAAAGGGGAAAAAATTGTAGATGGGTTTTATTGTGACAGTTAGGCTTTTATTTGAGACAAGATCTTGTTCTGTAGCCCAGGTTGTCCCTGGACTTTCAGTTTTCCTGCCTCAGACTCCTAAGCGTGGGGATAATAGGTAAGGCTCAGGTTCCAGGTGTGCACCATCAACTCTAGCCCTTGTCAAGTTCCGCAAAGAAGCCAGGCATGGTGGCCCACACCTCTATTCCCAGCACTCTGGAAGTGGAGGCAGGAGGACCATGGATTTGAGGCTGCCTGCATCCCACAGTGAGATGGTCTTTTTTTTTTTTTTTCCTAGGATTGGGGTGGTAGGGTACTTGCCTGTTATCCCGTTGTGTACTTGCTCTGGGTTTGATCTCCAGCATAGGAAGAAAGAAACTGCTTTGTAGTTTAGAAATTAGAACAGCCAGGAAGCCGTGTCCATGGTCCAGGTGGCTGTGTCCATGGTCCAGGTGGCTGTGTCCATGGTCCAGGTGGCTGTGTCCATGGTCCGCGTGGCTGTGTTCATGGTCCGGGTGACTGTGTCCATGGTCCGGGTGACTGTGTCCATGGTCCGGGTGACTGTGTCCATTGTCTGGGTGGCTGTGTCCATGGTCTGGGTGACTGTGTCCATGGTCCGCGTGGCTGTGTCCATGGTCCGGGTAACTGTGTCCATGGTCCGGGTGACTGTGTCCATGGTCCGGGTGACTGTGTCCATGGTCCGGGTGGCTGTGTCCATGGTCTGGGTGGCTCCTGACTTTCTGAGACTCAGAAAGTCATTTAATGACTCGCAATAGAGCCATAGAGCTTGGGTCTTAAGTGTCCCCCTAAGGGCTGTGTTATAAAGCCCCAGTCTCAGAGACTTGAGGGTCTGTGCCCATTGGATCCCGTGACAAACCACATGTTTATTTACTGCCAGACAATGACAGAATCTCTTTCTGCCTTCCTCCGACCCAGTTAAACAACTGTAAGAGTATTCTAACACTCGAGCCCTTCCTTCATGGCTCTGCTGGAGGCCAGGGACACCCGTATGGGCATTCCTGTTCTTCAGGGAGCAGATGGTGACCGAAGAGCATTCATATTATAGACATATACTGACACCTGCTGGGCGCATAGAATTGTTATCCAGTGTTAGCTAAAATGTGAACCATTTCAACACAGTAGAGTCAAATACCAGGAGTACCAAACTCAAAACATAACAAATACCTCAGAACAAATCAACTGCCGATAAAAAACAACCCATAGATGCATTAGCTGCTGGGTGTCACCTGACGGAGAATGGAACTGTGCTAGCCACTGCTCAGCAGAGAGCATTCTTGACGCTCGGTTCACAAAATCAAACCAAAAGAACAGTGCTGGCCACTGCTCAGCAGAGAGCATTCCTGACACTCGGTTCACAAAATCAAACCAGAAGTCCACATGCACACCACTGATGGGAGAAGAAGAACCGACAGGGTACAATAGAGAGAAAAAGTTGTTACTGGGTGGTGGTGGCGGCGGTGCCTGCCTTGAATCCCAGCACTCAGGAAGCAGAGGCAGGCAGATCCGAGTTCAAGGCCAGCCTGGTCTACAGAGTGAGTTCCAGGACAGCCGGAGCTACACAGAGAAACCCTGTCTTGAAAAACTAAAACCAAACAAACAAAAATCAAAACCAAAAACAAACCAAAAAGAGCTGGAGTCTACAGATAAAGGAATGAGTTCTGTGGAGCTGTTTCTGTACCCATGTCAAAAGGTGTGGGATTCTATTGACTATCATATGCCTCGAATGAACAGTTTATACGGAAAAAGCACTCCCTCTAATCAAGAGATAACAGAGACAGCATCATAGTCAATTTTATGTGCCAACCTAGTTAGATCACAGAACATAGATAATTGGTTCAACAAGATGTTGGATGTTTTGGCAAAGGCATATTTACTTTTTTTAAAAAGGCATTGCCTCTCTACATAGTCCTTGCTGTTCTGAACTCACTGTGTAGACTAGGCAAAAGTATTTTTTTTGTTGTTGTTGCTTTGTTTTCTTTCTTGAGACAAAGTTTCTCTGTGTAGCTTTGGAGCCTGTCCTGGAACTCGCTCTGTAGACCAGGCTGGCCTCGAACTCACAGAGATCCACCTGCCTCTGCCTCCTGAGTGTTAGGACTAAAGGTGTGTGCCACCACTGCCTGGTGCAAAGGTATATTTTAAGTGAGATCAATTTTTAAATCAGTAAATGTTGAATGAAACGGAATGTGAGTGGTTTCATCTGCAGCTGGGATTTTCTTTGGGCTGCCAACCAGCTCCCAAATAAAGACACGGAGGCTTATTGTTAATTATAAATGCTCGGCTGAGCTTATACTTGTCCCACTAACTCTTTTAACTTAATCTGTTTCTCTTTATCTACATTTTGCCTTGGGGCTTTTTATCTTTCTTTCATTCTGTATATCCTACTTTCTTGCTTCCTCCACGTCTGTCTGTCTGGCCCCTGGCATCTCTTTTTCTTTCTTCCTTGGGCCTAAATTTCTTCTACTACTTACTCTCCCTGCCTGGAAGTCCTGCCTATACCTCCTCCCTCACTATTGACTGTTCAGCTTTTTATTAGACCAGGTGCCTAGGCAGGAGAGATAAAGCAGCAACACATCTTTAACTAATTAAACAAATATTCCACAACATTTATCCAATCACTTGAAGGCCTTAATTAAAATGGCTGTCCTTCCCAAAGAGGGAATCAGTTATATATATTAATTTCATAACATACTTATATAATTCTAACGTTACATTACTAGTCCTAGAAGATACACTTAAACCAAAACTTTGCCAGAACTCATTTGCCAGGTCACACGGCCAATTTTGGATTTGCTGAGCCTCCACAGTTACGTGAGCCAATATCTTAAAATAAATATTGATTGATCAATAGACAGATAGAAGTTGGTTCTGTTCCCTTGGAAAACTTTGAATAACAGAGCGAGTTTTACTGATTCTCTCCTGTCATCGACAGAAGAGAGAGAGAGGAGGCACAAACATCAGGGGTCAGTGACACAGTTATCCTTTTGGGTAAGATGGCTGAGTATAAACTACTCAAGGAGCCACTCTGGGCATTCACCCTAGCCCTGGCTGACCAGGTCACCAGAAGATGACAATTATACAAAGTACCTTGAAGATGTAGCTGATGGGCAGACAGAGAGATACCCTACTTAGCCCTTGCTGTGTGCTGTGCCTTCCTCCTACTTCCAAGGAGAGCGACACTCTCACAGGATGCCATTCCTAGTCGGAGTATGCTGTAATCTCTGAGGCACAACATTTGTAAGTCTAGGGCTCAGCCTCCTAGAAACACTTGGATGACTGGCAAATGATATTTGTATGAGAATGGCTGGGCTAGCACTGTGTGTGAGCATAAAATCATGGAAATAGCCTAATTTTATTTATTTATTTATTTATTTTGGTTTTTTGAGACAGGGTTTCTCTGTGGCTTTGGAGCCTGTCCTGGAACTCATTCTGTAGACCAGGCTGGTCTCGAACTCACAGAGATCCACCTGCCTCTGCCTCTGCCTCCCGAGTGCTGGGATTAAAGGCGTGCGCCACCATCGCCCGGCCAATAGCCTAATTTTAAAAGCCACCTGTGTAGGAATAGATACTGGCACAACAGAGGAAGAAGAGGCACAGTTATTAGACTTTTAGAAAGGGCTTGTGTATGTGTGCATAGACACCTAGAGAGGCAGACGCTGGTGGATTTTCCTGCTGATAATGTGATGTCTGGCACAGTTGTGGGGAACTGAACTCGGGGCCTCTGTAGGAGCAACACCTATCCTATCCATTCATCTATAACTTAAATCTTCCAACAACTCCTTTCAGGTGCTGGGGATCAACCCAGGGCTCAGGAATATCAGACAAACATGATAATAATGAACTTTTGCCCTTCCTGGCAGCATTATGGGATGGAGCAATTACTAAAGCCACCTTGTCCTGTAAATAATGCAGTATGTATTATTATATTAACATTACAGTTGACAGAGAAACAAAAACAAAATATTGGTACAGAACGTTTCCTCTTGCCCAAGACCACACAGAAAGGGGCTTATTTGGAGGTGGGGCGATCTGCTCAGTTAACAGCGGACCTAATCAAGTTTCCTAGAGGTCAAGAAAGTAGTTTTGTAAGAAAGTCCGTCCTGTTGCAGACTTTAACATAAAGTTCATGGGACGTCCCTGGGTGGGCTTGAACCACCAACCTTTCGGTTAACAGCCGAACGCGCTAACCGATTGCGCCACAGAAACACAGCTGCTTCATGCATTACATCCTGATGGAGAGTGCCCACTAACCAATAGCGCACAGCTATTGCAAAATTACTGGGTTAATTCCAGCGCCTTGAAGACCTGGAGTGTTTGGAACGGCGAATTCTTGTCGTTTGAAGCCTGCTGAAGCCTGCGTTTTGATCCTGAACAGCCGCCGAAACGCCCCTTCTCCTTAGCGTTCCCAAACTCAGAAGTCCCGTCCCGCCCTGCGACAAGTCTGCCATCCGGGTCTGCCCAGGCGGGACCTGCGTGAAGCTAACACCCTGGGAGCTCCAGTAGAACTTGTTGGACCGGTCCTCTCTTTTCTTCTTTTTTAAATAGTTATTAGTTGAGATAATGAAGTTTCATCATTTTCCCCCTTGCCTTTCCTCCCCCACCAAACCCTCCGTACTCTCAAACTCACGCTCTCTTTTGCCATTGTTGTTACATATACATATTCACTGTATTGCATAGGTCTATATTTCTAAACACATAAATGCAGTCTGCTCGTTTCTGTATACTGTTAGTCGTATGTATGTTTTCAGGCTGAGCATTTGGTACTGGATCGCCAATTGGTGTGCTCTTCCCTGGGAAAGGACCCATTCCTTAGCATTCCTTAGCTGCAGGTAGTAAGCCCTTTGTGCAGGACTGAGGCTTTCCGGCGCTCTTCAACAGGCTTAGGCACTCACGTTGGTGAGACATCACTAGGAGACAATCTTACAGCAAACTCCCAGGCACTCTGGGTCTTACAGTCTTTCCAGTCTGTCTTCTACAGTGATCCCTGAGATCACTTAGGTCTGAGAGTGTTTTGTGGATGTGTGCCCTGGGACTGGACTCCACAACTACATTTTGATTGGTTGTGCCTTTCTGGAATGGTCTCCAGCATTTTTTTATTACTATTTAAATTTTTTTTTGAGATTAGAATTACATCATTTCCTCCTTCCCTTTCCCCCCAAACCCTCCTATGGACCCCTTCTTGCTCGCTTTCAAATGCATGGCCTCTTTTCGCGTTAATTCCATCTGTGGGTGTGTAAACATATACGTTCCTAAATACAACCACTCGGTCTGTGTACTTACTGGCTTGTATGTTTTCAGGGCTGACCATTTGGTATTAGGGAACCGACGGCTGCGCTCTTCCCTGGGGAAGGCTATTTCTCCTGCCCCCAGCATTCCTCGGTCACCTGCAGTTCTCTGTGTAAGGCTGAGGCCTCGTAGACTTTCTCCCATCCATCCTGCCTGGTGTTAGCATATTGTTGCTGTCTTTGGTCGGTTCACGCTGAGGCAGACCTGCTGGTGAGACTTCATGTCACTTCTGACATTACTAGGCGACACAATCTCACAGCAAACTCCCTGATCCCCTGGCTCTTCAAGTATTTTTGCCCCTCTTCCGAAAAGTTTCCCGAGCCTTAGGGGTTGGAGAGTTTTATAGATATATCCACTGGGACTGGGCTCCAAAATTCCGTATTTTGATTGGTTCATGATTTTCTATTTCAAAGAGTTTTCTTGAGAGGAGAGGACTACACTTATCTGCAGTTGTTATTGTTGTTGTTGTTGTTTTCAAGACAAGGTTTCTCTGTAGCTTTGGTGCCTGTCCTGGAACTAGCTCTTGTAGACCAGGCTGGCCTCGAACTCACAGAGATCTGCCTGCCTCTCCCTCCCGAGTGCTGGGATTAAAGGTGTGTGCCACCACTGCCCAGTTTATCTGCAGTTATAAAGGCAAATTAGGGATAATGCTGGTTTAGCAAAGGGGGGTTGTAGATTCTCCTCCAATATCTGTGATCTCACTAGCCCTAGTAGGTAGCCAGGCCTGTTGGTGTGACTCCCTCAAGTCCAATTAGAAAGCTGTTGGTTGCTGTGTATGCCTGTTTGCAATGCTGGTCATTGTTGTGATTTGTAGCTGGGGAGGACTGTTGGTTATTTTCCTCCTGTGGAAGCTTGTGTGGTGCCTTCTGGTATCGTGGAAACAACTCCTTAGGGAGAGGGCTCTCAGGTTAGTTCCAGCTCAGGGTCCTCTGGGCCCTGTGTCTGAAGTACACAGTATCTTCAGCGGTGGGGACTTTCCTTCTACCTCCAGGGGACAACCAAGAATAATTGCAATCACCTGTGATGTTTTTGAGAGAGGTGACTCTAAGCAACAACTCAAAAGAGGGCTTCTCATAGCTAGTGGTTGTAAGACTTTAAGACAACCCTGAAGCCATTTTTGACAATTCTGAATCCTCTCAGCCTCTGTGCCATAGTGCTTCCCCTCCTCCCCTGGGAACCAAGGACCAAACAGCTACACTCACACGTACTCAGTTCCTGAATAATTACCCATATACGTATGTTTTGGTTCGGTCCCCTGGGAAATGGGGTCAAAATGACCTCTTACCTCATCTGATCTGGCAACAGCTCTCCAGTCAATTATTGGTAATAGCCCTTTCGAATAAGCCAATCAGAATAGTCAAAGAACAACCCCCCTTGCTTCTGTGGCCCCTTTAAAAGTAGACTGTACCAGCTAGCTATTTGAGGTCCCTCGGCTTCCCGAATGCTGGGGGACCCTGTCATGACAGAATTAATAAAATCCTCATGCTTTTGCATTGACTGTGGTGTGTGAGATGGTCTCTGGGGGTGACTCCTTCTTGTTTTCTTGTTTTGTTAGGAGGTCTCTGACTCTTGGAGGGATCATTGTCAGACCAGATGGGAAAAATTTCATTTGAACACATACAGACACACACAAACACACACACAGGGACACACAGACACACACACAAACACATAAACAGAAGACACATACAGACACAAACACACACACACACACAGGCAGACAGACACACACACCAGAAGACACGCACACAGAGGAGAGGGTTTTTTTGTTTTATTTTGTTTTGTTTTGGGGTAGCTAGTTAATGATTTTTTTTTTTTTTTTTGGTTTTTCGAGACAGGGTTTCTCTGTAGCTTTTGGTGCCTGTCCCGGAACTAGCTCTTGTAGACCAGGCTGGCCTCGAACTCTCAGAGATCCGCCTGCCTCTGCCTCCCGAGTGCTGGGAGGAAAGGAGTGTGCCACCACCGCCCGGCTAGTTAATGATTTCTTATGACCTTTTGATACTCCCTTCCTGTTGTTCTGCTTCCTCTTTCCTTCTGAGTTTATCTCCCTCCTGCTCCCTAATTATCATCTCTTGCATTTTCTGTCCCCCCCCCCATCATTGTGTCCTGCTATTCCCTCTCTCTTGCTCCCCCATCCCCCAACCCTGGCAATGGTCCCTTTACCTCCCTGGTTTCTGCAGTTACTCCAGGATTTTACTCACATCTGAGGATTTGGGGTTGTGAGTCTCAGAAGAGAGAGAACACACAACTTTTGTCTTTCTGGGTCTGGGTTGCCTCATTCTATAGGCTCTTTTGAAGTTTGATCTACCTGCGAAGTTCACGGTTCCATGTTTCTTTACAGCGGAGTTTTATTCCATCATGCGTATGCAGCACATTGTCATTTTCCATCCATTGGTCGAAGGACACTGGGGTTGTTGGGAGTAGAGAGAGCGCTGAGGAACATGCTGAGTTGGCTGTAGAGGAGGATGCCAAGTCCTTTGGGAATCTGTTAAGGGTGAGACAGCTCGGCCCTATGATATGGTAGACTTATTTTTAACTGTTTGAGAATCTCTGCCCCGGTTTCAGAGTGGTGAGACCAGTTCACTATCTCATTAATAGTGAGTTTAGGGTTAGTTTTGGTGAAAGGTGGCAGACAGAGGTCTAATTCTGTTCTCCTGCATTTGGTGTGAACAATCAGGGTCAAGGGGAGCACAGACATACAATGGAGAGCAGCCAGGGATTCAGCTTCTCTGGGGAGGGGAGTATCTGCTAATGTCTGCTGTTCCCTTACTGGACAAAGATCAGCTTTTTATATGGTACTAATGGAACCTTTTCTCAGAAGACAAATGTGAAGACCATGATGCCCGACCAAGGAAGTACTTTTGGAGTGTGAGGGCAAAGCATCCTCTTGTTTTCAAAGGACGTCTAGCAAGTGCATTGTCCTGCCTGATGTCAGTTCAGAAATCTGCAGGGTGGACATGCAGTTTCCCCAGCACCATTTGTTGGCGGTCTTTTCCCCAGCATATGGCTTTGGCATCACTGTCAAGCATTAGATGACTGAAGTCATTAGTAGTCATGTTTGGATCTTGACTTTTTCCCACTGGTCCACACGTCTGGTTTTGTGCCGCTTCCACGCTGTCTTTATTACCATGGCTCCGCCATATTTCTAAGATCTGGAATGGTAATCTCTCCAGAACTGCTCTTTTCGCTCAGGATTATTTTGACTATGAGTCCGTCCTCTTAAGAAACTAAATGTACAAATGGACAATGTTCAGACTACTTATAACAACAGAACTCTGCTGAGGTGTCTGAGTTGTATAGATGGAGGGCTGCTTGCCTCGGTGGGTGGCTGCAGGTCAAGGGGCAAAGGTTCTTTTTTTTTTTTTTTAATTATTTATTATGTATACAACATTCTGCCTCGATGCATGCCGGTACGCCAGAGGAGGGCGCCATATCTCAGTACAGGTGGTTGTGAGTCACCATGTGGTTGCTGAGAATTGAACTCAGGACCTCTGGAAGAGCAGTCAATGCTCTTAACCTCTGAGCCATCTCTCCAGCCCAGGTTCTTGTTTTTTATTTGGCAGAGCTCACTAAGTAAGTGAGGCTGGTCCGGAACTTACTGTGTAGACCAGGCTGGTCTTAAAGTCAGAGGTTGGTGTCAGAGGCCATGAGAGTTACAGCAGCCGACAACTAGAATCCAGATATCAACCCACTGAGGAATGATTCTCTGATGGAGGAGAATCCTGTCCAGGCAGGACCTATGGGATCACCGACTCTAGAAACTGTGCTCCTGTCTGCAGTTACACATTTGCTAAAGCAGCTATGGTGTCTCTTTAATACCTGCACGGTAGTGTGCAATTTTATATGATGTATATATGTGTGTATATATATATATATATATACACATATATATAATCTTGTGATTGCATCTTAATCTTATG